GGCGATCGAGACTGCGTGGTCGAATCTGTCGAGCGTCAACCTCACGACATTGGTTGACTCGATGAACAAGCGCTGTGTCGCGGTTCTCATGAAGCAAGGCTCGGAGATCGACGTGAAGGTACTTTAGCAAGGCTAAGGGTGCGTTCGGTTCACCGCGTACTTTCAAAGCACATATCGCAAATCCGCATAACTTCGATTGCATGGTTTTTCGATACGTGCTTTTTGTTACGCGGATTGCAAAATCGCGTTCGGTTCATCGATGTACGCCGACTTTGGGATTTTTAGGACAGCGCATGGATGGTCCTGCGCGACGCGACCCGAGCGGCAAGCGTGGGTCCTCAATGCGATGAGTGGCGGCGTACTAGTACTAGTACAAGATAAGCGCTTGAGACATCTGTCGACGGCGCATACCCTCTATGCGCTACTCCTCCTCATACGCCTCGTGCCGGCTTCGCTAGGGGCTGCTTGGTGGCGCGACGAGTTAGCGGGCGCTCGACCTCGGTGAGAGCGCTTGTCGAGTCGATGAGCAAGCAACACGACGCGCTCTGCGTGTGTACTATAAGTCTCACAAATCTAACCTAGCGCGCCCGTCGTCCGCGGCTGCATGCGCTCCCTGGTCCTTCCAAGCGTGTCGACTTGGCGCGCTGCGGTCATGGTCGCGGCCATGTCGCTGCTGGAAATCAAATCAGGGATCTGTGAAAAAAGGACCCAAATTAGGTTTTTCCGATCGAGGGCAGGATATATCCCAAAGCATCCCAACGTTCGCCGCTGGTTTGTGTCGGCTGGCCGGCCGAGGCGTTTTTTGAAAATACGTGCTTTGGCGGCAAAGTTCGCCAAGTTACGCGGATTTGAACCGAATGCCCCGCGTAACATATTTTTCTCGAAGTTACGTGGATGGCCTCGAAGTACGTGAAAAGCACGTGCTTTGGACGAACCGAACGCACCCTAATTCTTGGACAAGTAGACAGTCGTCTCCCGCCAACCAGTGCCATGGTCTCGAGGAGGCTATATCAAGCGTGTTGTGTCTGGTTTGGTCAAGCCATGCCAGGCTGACGCAAGCGTGTATCGCTGGAGAGTTATGACTCCAGAAAGCGAGTTGCCTAGAGTCTGGGTAGCTTGTGTACGTGGTGTAGATTGAATAGTGCTTAGTGCCATATACGGATGATGTCCGGTAGCGACCCTATATGGTAGTGACACATCGAAGAGCCTCTTGACGATGGTCTCACCCTGCACAGCCTATCGTCCTATCCACAACGCTGGCCTCCATCGTCTCAGTTCACAATCCGCCTTCGTGGAGTAGCACAATACAACTGCCTGCTTCCTGGGAGATGGCTCTCCCTCGCTGCGTTGTTTGCGTTGCACCGCGGAAGCCACCACAAGCGTCAACAAGAAGTGATATTGTGCAATACTGGCGTGGAAGCAATAATTATAGCCTCACTCTAGAAGTTAGAAACCAATAGGATTCGCTAAAGGTACTCCGGATAAATTCAAAGCTTTTTGATTGGCGCTCTAGTGGATGGCACACACGTGGCGCAACTTCGCCAGTCACTTTGCAATTACCGACCGAGAAAAACAGCGACAGGTACGCAGACGCAACTGCTATAACCTCATTTGACCGCGGAGACTGCTCCAAGTTTCTCGGTTACCATGACCTTATGGAGCAACTTTGAGTTATGTATAACGGTTGACGCTTCTGTAGCGAGCGACTTATGCCCCGAGGAACGAGTTTGACGCCCAGCGAGCGCGAGAGGATTCTGGCTTTGAACCAGTCGGGCCTCTCCAACCGGGCGATCGCCAAGGAGCTCAACCGCTCTCCCAAGGTTGTCAACAGCTTTTTGAAAAGCCCAAACGACTACAACACGGCAAAGCGACCAGGTCGCAAGCCCACGCTCACTCCGGACGCGCTTCGGCAACTCGTCGCGGCGGCGTCCGAAGGCGTTTTCACTGCCCGAGAGCTGCGCGTCGACCAACAAGTTCCCCTCGGAGTTCGCCGCATCCAGCAGATCCTCTCGAGCGCCGAGATCTCTTCGCGCGTAGAGATACCGAAAATGACA